ACATACTATCATCCATGCAAGGGGATATACCAAACAATGAAGCTCAACCTAACACTGGACTAGAGAAAATAAAATATTCTGCAAATTAAATTAGCCACAGAAAGTGAAGTTAACTCTCTACAGCAGGGTGTCATGAGAGAGCCGCTGGCTTTGCAGTGGGAGGGTCTAATAGCAGCTGTAGCACAGGTTGGGTGCATTGCTGTGGGTCTTCCTGTTTGTGTCCATCGTTTGTTAATAAAGATATTGGCACATCTCCTACCTTCCTCAAAGTGCAAGATGAGGCGCAAATGAAAAACCATACCATGGCATATGTATAAATATCGCTGTCACCGTATACTAAGTACTGTAATTTGTCCAGGTCCCACGGAAAGTTCATTTTGCTTTGAATGACTTATTAGTAAAATCTGATTTTAAAAGAACAGACGTAGTCAGATGTAATTTGTATCATATAATTTCAGCTTTCTTAGCAGATGCGCAGGTCATTCAGTCAGGCAGAGGTTTTTCCATGCTTCCTGTCTGAATTAGAGAAGGATCACTCATAGTAGGTTTGAAAGGTTTTTCGCTCAGTCTTGTGTGTCAGTTTTGAAAATTCTGACTCTAAAACCCAGACTAATTTATGACCCATGTTGTGCTCAGACAAACATGACAAAATCACTTTTAGAGTCTTTTCTAGTCAAGATAAATCTCACTGTGCTCTGTTAAAACATGTCTCATTGAATAAAATGCTAATAGCTGATTTAATGGATCATTTATTAAATAAAAGCCAATATGTAAATTTCACAAATCTCCCTCACAGGAAGTATCTTAAGGCAAAAATAGTATGTGTCTAATAGTATCAACATAGATTTGGAAAGCAATCATGCTCCTTACATGTTGGTTCACTTAAGTTCACATCAGTCATATGAAGAAGAAGGCACTGTCCTTATTTATGAGGGGTGTGCGTGACTGCTTTTGGAGAAAATATATTTTTAAAATTCAGCTGGAACATGAGCTGCTGTTGAACACAGACCACATTTAAAACTTCATATACAGAATACTTTTTTTTGGAGTTTAGAGTTACTTCCAGAAGCTGTTAAAACTTGAATAAAGTTCAAAAATATTAGATATTCACATCAAGCTGTCTGGCTTTGCCACAGTCGTGGGAAATCAGCTCTTCTTCTCGCGTACTTTGACCCTAACAATGTCATTCTCAGAGGGGGCCTGTTTGGGGCTTTGTAATAAAATGGGCACCGGCTGGAGGTACGGTTGGTCCCAGGTGGGATGTGCCCTATCACCAAAACACACCTGCTTTCAAACACTGAGTTTGATGAAAGGTGTAAAATAACTCATTAATATTTTTACATTCATTAAGTGTTGAATTAGTATCTTTGATATATTGAGTGAATTTAATAGGTCATTAAAATTGATTTCACCTCTTAAAAAATAAAAATAAAACACACACACAGGGGAAAAGCTGCTGGTGCAGTTAATTACGGGACCCAGGATTCTGATGACGGCCTCCTGATCCATGGCATACTTGGGACAAGCTGAGGACCTGCTCAGAGCGCGCTCAGAAGTGGCTCTGCCACAGCAGGGTGTGTTTCACATTTCTGGCCCCATCTCACAAAGCTGGCTATAGATGTCTTGACACTGAGGATAAAAAATGCTGTGTGTCCTGCCCAAGTAATTTTAGACAATTGGACTCAGGTTCAAACGGACGACATTAGACAGCAGAGAACTAGATTATCATGCAGATACCTTAGCGCTTTTACAAAGGGAGAGAAGACACTTGCTAGAGAGATCGCAAACCAGTCTCTTTCCCTCTCTCTCCCTCCATTTCTCCTTAGCCTGCAAAGATCATTATTTCACCTTCATTTTCACTGGCTATTTCGCTGGATATATAGTCCTCTGTTCAGTGTTCTCCTTTGTGTTACTCACCCTTTGGAGTCCACAAGTGTTCTTCAGTGTGTCATTTCATGTGTTCATCTATCCAGGATAATTCTAAGTCATTATTTCCTCAGATGTTTCATCTAAGCCCTTCTCCATGGCCTGCATTTTTGGGATTCTAATTTCACTTAGTTTTATTTTTTTTCTTTATCAATTACATTTATATCAGAACTTTATATCATATTCTACATGTTTATTACACTCAATTTTTTCATTATTTTTCTTCAGTTTTTATATTTTCTACCTGTGCTTTCTATATTTTCTATTTTATAGTTAGACCAGTCATACCCTTTCCTTTGTCTAACAATTTGTTGTTAAATGTATCTTTTGTGTTTGTAATAAAAGTTCTTGAATTTTCTTTTAAAAATTTCCATTTGAGTGTTTTTCTTTTTATCAACTCTTACTCTCTGGTGAAAGTGCCCATAATTTCATTTATTATTTTATCTTTTCCTCTGTTCTCTAAAAGCGCACTAGCTATTTCCGTACTGCAGCCTTCGCTGGCTGACTCCAGCGTCTTAATCAGCCCTGGGACTGCGTCTGTTCTCTATAATTTTTCCGTTGGGTTTTGTTCATTTGGTAACAGCATACACTTTATATGAATATTGGTATGAATTTTTAAATTTTCCTTCAAAGAGGGTTCATTGTTTTCCTTTATGGTCAACAAATTAGGAGCTAATCACACCAATCCGGTCAGGGGCTGGGGTGCCTCGAGGCTGACCTGTAGTTTGACGGGCTTTTCTTGATTGTCTTGGGCTAACTTGCTCTGGGCATAACCCTTCAGGGATTCTGACTGAGAACCGTGGTGCCTCCTCCAGGTGCCTCCTCAATTGTAATTCTTACCCTCCCAACGCTGATGGACTCTTGGACTCTATCCTGTTGGTCAGAGACGTTTTGCTTGGTTCCTTAACCTCTTTTTCTTCGCAGTTTGAAGATACAAACGGTGACTGACGTGTAAAGTTCGTTTCCCTTGCCTTCCTCTGACCCGAGCGTCCTGTAATTACTGAACCTCACTGATGCTCCAGGCCCAGGAGATAGCTTTTCAGAGCACCTCTCCTTCTAGACTCTTTTCCTAGATTTTTTTTTTATTCAAAATGTGTTGAAAGATAAAACCACAACAAAATGTGGGTTCACCTCTCTGTGTGGTGTCCACTTCTCCAGGATTTTGTTCCCGCAGGTCATGGTTGCTTCGACACCTACCTGATGTTTTCAAACAGGTTTTTATCTATCCATCTTTTATAGTTTGTCTCAGTGACAGAGCTGGTGCACCGCAAGCCTCTGAGTAACAGCTGGAAGCAGAACTTCCTCGTTATGATTCACCATTGCTTTTTTTTTTAATAAACTTTTTATTTTAGAACAGTTTTAGATTTACAGGAAAATTGCAGTGATGATGGCGTATGAGTTCCTATAATCTCTATATCTAGTCCCTTATTATTAGCATATTGCAGTGGTGCGGTCCATTTGTTCGAATTAGTGAGCCAATACTGATACATTTTGATTAACTGAAGTCCACATTTTACTCAGATTTCCTCAGTTCCAGGATTCCAATCAAGATACTGCCTTGGCTTTAAGTAGTTGTCACAGTTTCTAAGGCTCCCCTTCCCTGTGACGACTTTGACAGTTTTGAGAAGTAAGGTATGCGGACTATTCCTTGACAGTAATTTACCTGATGTTTTCGTCATTATTAGCGTGGGGTTATTGGATTTGGGGAGGAAAGCAGCAGAGTTGAAGTGCCATTTTTCATCACATCATATCAAGGCTATGTGCTACCAACATTATGTGACCATTGATGTTAGTCTTGACCTCCTGGTTGAGGTGATGTTTGTCAGATGTCTTCTCTGTGAAATTACCCTTTCCCCTCCTTTGCATTCTGTGCTCTTTGCAAAGAAGACATTATAAGTATAAGTAGCCCACACTTGAGGAGTACAAGTTAGCATTTCCTTGAGGGTATTAATAGCTACATAAGCTACTTTGCATTGTACGCACAGAAGGTTTGTCTTTTCTCCTATTTATTTATTCAGTCATTTATTTATATCAGCGGATACTGATAGATATGTATTTTTATTTGGGTTATAATAATACACTACTTCATTTTGTTGCTTAAAATTTTCAGCTTTGACAATTGAAACATCTTTTAGTTGGCTCATATGTCCCTTTGACATACCCCCATTATTGGGTGTATGTGTGTGTGTTTTAACCATTTCTTTCTTTTTTGCACTAAGGTACTACAGGCTCATCTTCTATATTTCCTGCCCCAGTCCTACGAACAGCAATTTCTCCAATGATTCTGGCTTTCTTTTACTGGAGAATGGTATTAGAAACCAAGATTTGGGCTCATTGATACTGGGGTGTCATTGCTTCCAGGAATTCTCAGCTAGCAGAGCAAGGTAATAGATGTATATATATACTAACTTGTGCATACACACATATTTATAAATATTTGACTTCTTTTAAATTAATAAAATTTATCAAAAACCCAAACCATATGTCTTGCCAATGACATATTTTGCATAATTCCAAAATATATTTTTCTTGAATTCCCTGCAGTTTTTTCTCAGTGGAAGTATTCATATACACATTTTAAATGATCAGAGTAACAATCTAGTAGAGTTATTTATTGTTCCAGTTTGTGGATTGGATACATAGGTAGGTAGGTAGGTAGATAGACAGATAGACTAGATGGATAGATAGAATGTTTCCAGTTTTCAATATGCAAAGTTTCTTCTGGCTAATAAAAAGGGAAATTGCTGCAGCCATCTTTGAGGGGAAAGTTGAGGAAGTCATGAAGACTGCGTAAGGACTATTTAAGAGCATCGGTAACCTAAAAAATACAGAACACTTTTAGTCAGTCAGAAGTCATAATGGAAGATTATTCTCCACTGGCGGTAATCCCACAGGAATGGTCCACCCAGTGCATGCCAAAGTTCAGTATCATCAGCATCACCGGGAGGGGATGTGAAATGCAGAATCCTGGGCTCCTCCCTGAGAGATTCTGACCCAAAGGTTTGAGATGAGGCCCAGGAATCTCAATTTCTTACTAGCTCCCTGACACCACGGCTGCCGGTCAGCAGGCCATGCACATGCTCATAAGCACTGAGCCCTCTTTTTTTTTTTCACGGTAAATGCAAGCAGTCCACTTGGGAGGGGACAGTGATCCTGAAGACAATTAGGGAATCCAGGAATGAAGAATGTGTTCAGGACAAAGAGAAAGCCCCACTTCCAAATGCAGTGGAAACACTCACTGTCACAGTTGCGATATTTTCGAGGTTACTGTTATGGGTTGAAGTGTATCCAGGGACTTGTGGTTGCTGCTTGCCAGACTGTCTTGGGGGATCGCTAGACCAGGCCACCCGGGGCTGGCACCTTCTCGGAGCTTTTTTTCTTCCAGGCCCTGTACTTTGAGACTGGAGTTGGCAGTGATAGCCAAGTTCATAATCATCTTGGTAATGCATCTTTTTGGTAATAAGATTGGCCAAATATCAAGATTTCATCCCCACCTTCCAGGTCCCACTGATTAACATCAAGCAGGGCCTGCAGCGCACACTCTACGCGTGCGGGGTGTGCTTTATGCAGGTGTGGAGGAAGGTCACCTCCACCCACCAGCCCTGATGTGACTGCCTTGGGGCTGTTCAGGTACTCGGGGTAAAGCCAGGGGGCTGCCTCGTGAGGTGCTGGAGCTCTTGGAGGAGTGTCCCGTCCCATTGCACCACATTGAGCAGGCGTGGGAAACCGCCTGGGAGGGCCACGCGCCAGGCAGCCTCCCAGGGAATCCAACCTCCGCTTGAAAACTGTAAGGCTGTAGTCATTTTCTGTTTTTGTTTTTAACTTTTATTTTATTTTTGAAGATATTGAAGTCCTGACACTCAGTACCCCTAAATATGACCTTATTTGGAAATACAGTCATTGCAGATGTAAGTAGTTAAGAAGAATTCAAACTGGAGTAGGGGAAGCTGTACTCCAGTATGATGGGTGTTCTTGTACAAAAGGGGAAATTTGGACACACAGACAGGCAGAAACAGAGGCAATGCCACCGGTAAGCAAAGGAGAGAGGCCTGGGGCAGATCTTTCCCTGAGGGCCCTCAGAAAGAACCAACTGTGGTGGCATCTTGAGTTTGAACCATCCAGCCCTTAAAGCTGTGAGAATAACTTTCTGCTGTTTTGCCAGCCAGTTCGTGGCGCTGTGATGGCAGCCCCCGGAACCTGACACAGCCCACCCATGCTCTTCACTGGTCTTTATGAATTTGAAATAGACATTTTCATTATATTATATAAAAGTCTCAGTTATATAAACAGTGTTTTTTTTCACATCCTTGTTATCCCAGCAGAAAAGTAGGACCAGTCAAATGAAAATGGCAGCCCAGGGTCACGCCCAGAGGGGTCAGGTTTACAGTGGCAGCAGTGCTGACACAGGTCCATGATGGTCATGTGAGGAAATAATGAACACAGTCCACCTTAAAGTGCCTGGTGCCGGCAGCATAGCTGGAGACTGGACACCTGTCCTCATGATTCTGAGGTTTTTCAAAGCTTCCCCATTTCACACACAAGTTCCATCACAGAATTATTTATATATGTTTAGAAGACATGGAATAATAATATCTATCTTCTTCAAACATCACAATGATTTGTGAGAACCAGTTAGAAAGATAACACTCCCATTGTTCAATTTCCTTGGAAGAAAGGGACTGTGTAAATACGTATCATTGCCATCATCATTTTGAGTTAGATGACTGAAAACAAGGAATAACATTGTCTATAAGAAGAAATTTATCTAACAGGGATCCTCCAAAATGCCATCGGAACACCGTGGGTGACCCTTTATGTTGTGAAATGCCAGCCTGGCTTAGCGCACAGCGTGCTTTATGAATATTCAATAAATAGTCTTCACTGTTGACCCCTGAAGTCGTGCTGGATGTGGCAAGGAACACCACACTGCTGGTGTGCGGGCATGCCACGATTTTCATCTTTGTAGGCTCCAGCTCCACTCTCCCATCTCAGTCTTGAGTCCACAGCATTTCTGCACAATTATACGTGAGGAATAATCTCATCCATCCCCGCTGTACCTTCCTGCAAGCCTTAACTGTCATCCAAGTTTGAGTTTTCTCTCCGCAAATTGGGCTTTGGATAAATGACTAGATGAATGACTATTACAAAAATGTTTTACTTACTTAAAAATAATTACGAAGAAGTTCATCAACAAGGCAAAGCTGGACATTTGTCATGATGTTGCTTTAGGATTTTAAGGGGCTCAGGGTACCTCTTTTTCACATCCATAAGGTCTGGACGTGAGTCCCATTAACCTCAAGTTTCTACACAAAGGGGAATATGCTGCTTGGGAACTTCCTAAGAATGAAGTGGGGTATCAGGTCAGATCTCCCAAGACCACAAAGGTATTTGTAAGACTACTCTGAAGATTTTGCAAAGATCAGGTGACGCTAAGAATGGTGTGAGGAAACACACTGAAGAACACGAAACCCACTAGACGTGTGCTGATTATAAGAATATAAAAGCCAAATACTTTTAATAAGTGGATGAACTCCGGTAAGAACAAGGATTTTGTTTTTGTTTTCATACTGGGAGACATTACAACATAAGAATGTGATTGCCAAATAAAGAAATACCTAAGGAAGCTGACTTTTTACATTATTTATTTTGTAGAAACACATTCTGATAATGAATCTATTCCCTGGCTAATATAATCTGGAATCTGCCAATAATCAACAACTATCAGCTTCCGAGAATTTTGTCAATATTGTGATTAATGGTTATTAATGACTAACAGTGAATGCAAAGACTGTTAATTTGTGAATATATGAATTGGGACTTTTTTTAATCAACCAAAAAGATGGTTTCCCTACAAATGTAATTATACAGGAGATTGGCTGCGGTTGTTAAACTTTTAACAATTGCACTGAGATCCATTTTAATTTTCTTATGTGCTTTTATATTGGTTAAAAATAAATCAACTCACTTGAAAAGAAATTATTTTCCATAATTAAAATGTATTATGAGAAGTAAATCTGAAAACTTCTCTGTGGTGGAATGCAATTCTTCCTTTCCTCTATCAGAGTATGTATGAGAATCATACATAAATATTCTATTTTTGTCCAAATACAGGCTTAATTATTGACTAGTATGCTGATTTTGTGGGGCTATTTTTGTTTGCATTTTGTCCTCAGCTATGATATTTAAATACAAAACATGTCTTCTAAATCCAGAAAACAATACTATTTTACAAAAACCGAATGCCTAGAGTTGACGTTTTACAGACCAGTAATGCCATTTCTGGGTACTCCATGAGGTAATTATTTCCTGGTGCAGTGAATTTGAGAAGTGCTGTATTAAACACAGATTTATTTATTTAACAGCGTTCTTTGTTGTGTTTAGGCAGATTGGACACCTTCAGGCGTATGCAGCACACAGTGTTTCCTGATAGACTGCCGTGATTAGGAGACAGCTCTGCTAATGCTGATGCTGGTACTTTGTAGGACACTGGCGATCTGCAAGGAGCTGTGGAGAGATGCTGAGGGCCCCTAACCATGTGAGTTTTTTCCCCCGAAGAAGAACTGAGCCAGCACTGAGCCTTTCACTCCCTTCTGTGCTTTTGCAGAAGTGGTTGGGACACATTTATCCTGACACATCTCTCGCTAAATTCTCACCCCTTGACTTCTGTGTTCTAGCCTGGAGGCTCTCTAAGATTAAGAACTACCCAACACAGTGTAGCTTTTCCAGGAACTTTTTTGCAACTAAGTGGATTAATAGATAATTGAATCTATTTTGAGGGCATAGCAAAGTTTGTATAGAAAACATTCAAGAAAAGATCAACTCATTGTGAGTATTTCCACCACTTTCTAAACATTTTAGAGTAACTCCATCATGATGTTTTAATAAAACTTACCTTGTCCATATTAACACCCCTTAGCAGCATAATCATTCTGTGTCCGTAGCCTCGTTTGAGGTCTATGACATAGTGTGAGGTGAGTGGGCTTTGAGGCATTCCTGTGGCACCAATAACTGGATGTGGACACATTACTTAACCTTGATGAGTTTTGGGTGTCCTAACAGTGATAGAGGGCACTGTGAAGTTTAGATGAATTAGCTTACATAAAACATTTTAAAAACGACCGACACGTTAGCCAACATTAGCTGGCATTATTACAGTGAAGGGCATCCAGCTCATGGTGCTGCATTTGAAATGGCTTAATCACCAAAGAGCTTTGCAGATCTGGGGTAAAGCGTTTTACTAACAGCTCTACGCCGAGCTGCCAGGACAGATCTTGCACAGCATAGGATCCCAGAAATCTCTCTGTGCGGGCGCAGTCCAATAGCCATACCCCCTGGGGCAAAGGACTTCACAGGCCTGGCACAGTGAGAAGAGGGACCCAATTTCAGGCAGGCATTGTTCCAACACCTGCTTTATCTGGTATCTACTAGGTCTGTCTGTGGGCCTCCCTCTCTGGGTGCACCTGGCTTTAGGTACCCTGGCAGCATGATGCCACCGCAGAAGCATGGGTGTCAACTTCGTTCAGCCCCCGTGTCGGAGACGGCAGGTAAGCCTCCCAGACTTGGAGTCCTAGCTGCCACCGTGCTGCCTACGTGAGAAGCTTCCTCCACAATATCTAGACCCAGTCTCAGGACTCCCTCCACCGTGTGCCAATCCTGTTTCACCCGCGTGCTCACGCAGTGCTCCAAAATGCCTCACTCCCTTCCCCCTTTGCTTCTGGAATCTGTCTTACCCCGTGCACCGCGTCACTCACTAGACTTGCCCGTTGGACCAACGGAAAGTCTCTTACATGCATTACTTCTTTCCCCTTCCCATTGCCTCTTTCTGGCTCAACTCTTGTGATTTCTTGCCTATGCTTACACACTTCTCCTAACTGAGCTCCTTGACTCAAATATTTTATTCTCCAGTTCATTTAGGAGAGCATCACTAGGAGCCAAGCACAGTCATATAATCAGTTAGTGACACAGACAATTAACCCTTCATGGAAGATGACCAAAAACAAGCACAATGAATACATAAAATTAAATGTAGGTTAGATCATCTTGCGAGCGCTGAGACGCAAGGTTGTCAGAATAGGGTTCGATGAGAACATAATTTCTGAGACTAGATTCTAAAAACATAATAGAGTTTGTCAGGCAAAAACTGTGCAATGAGAACATGACTGGTAAGTTTAGAGCAGAATCAGAGAAAAGGCGGTGAGTGCCATGTGGGGAGCCCTCAGGGCGAGACTGTGTAGAACTTTACAGGCCGTTGTAAAGACTCTGGCACTTGCTCTAAGCAAAAAGGAGAAGTAATGGAAGGTTCTGAGCAGAAGAAGGTTGACTTAAATAAGGAAGAACCACTTTTTGATGGTGATCAAAATTAGGATCAAAGGGACAAATCAGGAGGCTAATGCTGTCATTGAGGGAAGAGCTGATAGTGATTCAGATGAGGATGCCAGCAGCGAAACTGGCAGGAAACCATGTTGAGAAAATACAGTCAACAGCGTTTGCAATACATTGGCTGTGAGACATAGGGAAAAAGAAGAGTTAATGATGACCCCGGGAGTTATGGCTGATGCAAATGAAAGGACAGCAGGGGAAGACTGGAGATGGAATCCCGGTGGGCTTCAGTGTGGGACGTGTTAAATGGGAGAGGCCTCTAAGACTTCCCGGAGGAAACGCCAAGCAAGCATGTGGGTCCACGAGGCTGGGATTTCTGAGATGTTTGGTCTGGGGATGGATATGTCCATTTGGGAGTTAGTAACATAGAGGCCTGGATGGGACTCAAGGGGAAGTGAGTATAGGAAGAAAACAGAG